GTTAAAGTTTCGTTGGAACGAAGTTACGGAAAAATCAATTAACAAACGGAGACGTAACAGATTGTTTCTCATTTGGAGTATCCTGTCTCCTCTGTCATTCTTCTTATTTCCTTGCATCCATATTGAAAACAGTTTCTTCCCAATTTCTTGGATCAGGAAGTGCAGTCATTGTTATTCAAGGGGGCTTATATGGAGGTGATCTACTACTTTTCAGTTTTATTCTAATTTTTTATAGCCTCCAGCCAAGAGACTGATGATTAGTTCTGTCTTTTGAATTATTTTTAACTATTTCACACTTAAAAGATGATTTCTTATCTGTTATGTTTCCTGTGAATGAAAACTTTGGGTATTTTGGATATGTACCTCCATATTCCCATTCAGTCTTTTCATTTTGTCCATGGAAACTACTACTATCAGTTTCAGGCTCTTCCCTTTGGTCTGGCATTTGTTCATTTTATTTTAACTAAGGTTTTGTAATCCACTGAATTAGCTTCATCAGCAGGGAATGGTTTTCATCATTACTTGGATAATTGACTGCTTTTGTCATCTTCCTTGTCTTGTGCCCAGATGCACATTCTTTAACTTTAGACTTTCTCACAAATTTAGGTTCTATTGTAAAAAAACTGAAATCCCACTTTCAGCAAGCTTGGTTTCTTATTCTGCTGAACATTTTGATCAATTGTTGCTTGGGAAGTTAATTTTTAATACTGCAGTTTTGGAATCTCTCTCTTCTGAAAACTTCTTCAATTCTTCAAATTTTATTTTGCATGGGACTTTGTTAACTGAGGCTCCTTTGGTATTTCTTTTGATGGGCCATCTGTGTTATGCTTCACAGTCAAAGATTTCCTGGAACAAACTCTCTGATTTAGTGTCTCTGTTACCAGGGGTTCGGACAAACTTAAGCTGGTGGTTGGACAAGAACAACACTACCTATAAAACATTTCTTTAGAACTTCTGAACTCAGTTTTCATTAGTTCACAGATGTCTTATCTTAGACCAGTGAAACTGCAGTGGGGATTCTGCCCTCTAACACTACTCTCTTAGACATGGGAATATTCTTGAGAATCATTTACACCACAGTGTTTGCTGTCCAACAAAGCTGGTCAACCACCTAAATATTCTGGAATTATGGGCAATTTGGAACGTTTATGGAGGCTTTTTGTCCTTTTTTTACAACTTTCTATAGGTTTTTTCATTCAGACAACAGTATTGTCATCATCTGTGTCGCCAAGATAGGTGAGATCACTATTCACTCACTTGATGTAGTGGAGATGGTTAAGTGTATTCATCCAGCATGGTCTCTTACTCTCAGTTGCCTACAAAACTGGGACCTTGCTTTCATTTCGCAGAATTTGACATAAAGCTTTTGAACCTTTAACCACTTTTAACATACTTTTTTATTAGAAGACATATTTTTTTATTTTCATGGCTTCTGCTTATCATCAACCTGATTTGCAAATGTCAAACACACTATTTTTGAGGGTTATTATATGGTAATTTATGATTATGCCTGTGTATAGTTATCTGTTTCTGCAAGACAAGAGTTTCATGGATCTAATATGCAGAATAAAGTGTGGTTATTTGTGACAGGTGGAATAAAAGAGACAAGACATGATGTGGAAGTTAAGAATGATAAGAAAATGAAAAATTTTATTTTCTGAGATAAATAAATAAATAAAATATAAAAAAGATGAAATGTGTGCAGGTGATAGTCTAAGTGTTGTGAAAAATAAACTAAAATAAGTAGATAACAGGTTAAATGTAATTTGAACTGAAGTTCACATGATCGATGCAGGAATCAGAAATGACACAAAAACAGTTTTTCTACTTGTGAGTCTGGACTCTATCAGGAAAGCAATGATCTCAATTCCTTGATAGTCAAACCAGAGTAATCTTTTCTGAAGTTCCCAAAACTGCATATTAAAAGCATGTATTTCTGCAGCTGAAAACTCAGAAAATATGGTCCAAAATGCAGAAATATCTACATCATGTAACAGTCACAAAGTTTCCTTCAAACACAAAAGCTTCAGAAGAATACATTGAAATATCCCACATAACAATAGATAGGTTCCTTGACTGATCAAGCTACAAAGAGTGACACTTCACTGTGCAATTTGTCATGTGATTTCTGAACTGGTTTTAGAGAATTCTAGAATTGAAACTTGGACAAATTTAAGAATTCAGAAGATAACAAATACATGTTATGGGAGAGTAAGAGATGTAATATTTGCATATTACATTTACACTTGTAAATCAATAGAATTTTATCTTACCAAAAAAACTTTGTTTACTTATAAGGCAAATGATTGCTTTGTTTGAATTGTTTTATTAACTTTACCACTGATTCTGATTTTTGTGTCAGTAGGAGCAGTTTGCTGCTATGTCACTCACTCTGATTTCTTCTAAATGCTTCTCAATAAAGCGTTTATAGCATACCACGAGATAACTTTTGTATTATAGGATTGGTAACTTACTCTTCTTTCATGCATTCTTCAACATCACACTTTTGTTAAAGCACTCACTAAACAGTTACCTTTCTTAGATACACTAATTACAATAAAAAGAAAATATTATCAAACTTCTATCGACTGCAAGACTTGTGTTAACCCATTGTTTTGAAATTTTAAATGATATCATCCTGAAAACATTTAAATGGGTCACAGTTTTTGGTAATTTATATTGGATTTATTCTGAAAGGAAAAGAAAAATGGTCAGAAATCATACATAAGAAGAAATCAAGGCCCTTGCTATCATGAAGAAGTGATTATCGATATTCAATATTTAAGAAAAGGAAAAACAACTTAAAGTAGAAAACATCATAAAGACACAGAACAAATTTGTTGTATGGATATTCTCTTTGTCAATACTCACTTAACTAAAAAAAACTCTATAAGACTATTAAGAACTCAGATAGTTGAATGAATTGAAAGAGCTCTTAAAAACACATTTGTTAGATCTGCATTTAATATGAGTACAGAAGAAAAACTGTTTAGCTGCCCAGCATACTTTGAAAGAATTATGTCATGGAAAAAACTACTATATAAATATCATGCAAAGAATGCAAAACAAATTTACACATGATAAACCCAACAAAAACTGCACTTAAGATCTCAGAATATGTGAAGGTAATATTGCTTCATGTGCTGTTGCAGAACATAAAACTATGAAGTATTAACTAAAAGAGGTCTTATTCCAATAGCAATTCTCAAACGCACTAAATCTTTTTTAGAATGTAAATTACACAATATATGATACAAAACTACACCCAGGAATCAATGAGACAGTAGCTGAGTTTTGTAATCTTTGAAGATAACTACACTCTCTCTATGAAAGTTTTCTAAATAAACATTTATATATAACCTTAAAGAAGAAATACATTTTATACATCTTTACTTTGCATATACATTAGTTTGCAATTGATATCTTCCAGAATTATTAGCAAAGTAGTATATTGAACTATGTATTATCTTGTAAACCTAAATATGTAGTAATATTTTGTAAGTTATTTTCAACAATACTTTTATGGCATGTTATGTACTACTGTTTAATGTGCACATATCTTTTGAAGTAATTTTGAATTCTTATGTAGGCTTAATTAAGAATTAAAGCAGATGTAAATTCAACTTTTCTGAAATACAGTATTTGTGTTCTCCTGATGAATCGTTAATGTCAAAATGTTGAGTAAATATTTGAACAAGTACAAGCTTTATTTCTTGAACTATAGTCATGTATAATTACTTAAATATATCACACACTTGAGTTGTCATTACAAACATATCTTAAAGAAGAAAGTTTATACTTTGTATGGTTGGAATTTTGTTGAACAAAACTGATGAAATGTTTAAGGATTTACAGTTCTGTATGTAGCTTTTTAATCAGTGTCAGTTAGAAGTAATTAAGAACTTTAAAGTTTCAGATCATAATAATATTTTAAGAGTACAATTATATTAGTGGTTTTTTAAATTTTATTGACTTCTAAGCTTTGTAAGATTATTGTAGTTACAGTATGTAACTTGCTTAGTTCATATTGTAACATGATCTTATTCTATTTTTCGTTGGTATGAGAAGTTAGTACAGTTGATAGTTATGATGTTATTGAAATGTACATGTATAAACTGGCAAGTTAATGAATAACATACAGTTGTTTTTTGTTTTTTTTTATAGTGTCAAAGGCTCAACTAGTAAGTTTCAAGCTTAATGGAGACTTCACAATTCTAGTCGGTAAAAGAAAAGATAAATTCCTTGAAAAGATGAAGGAACAAATAGCTAAAATTTTAGATATTAAACCATCGGCTATTTGTAACTTGGATGCACGTTCTGGTAGTTTCACTTTTAATTTTATCTTTTGTTCAGAATATTTAAATATTTCTTAGATAATCCATTATTATTAAACTTACACAATATCATTTGTTTAGGCTTTATATTTATTTGGATAAAGTAAAGAGTAATTAAGTTAAAAATGGCCACATTAGCAGGGCCGGATTTAGATGAAGAGAGGCCCCAGGCTATTCCACTTGTGAGGCCCCTCCAACCCCCCTCACGACTAGAGGAAGATGGAAGAGTTTTTTAAACAAAATTCAGTGAAGCCGAGGATGATGACGGGTGTTTAAAATTACGTAATTCACAATTCCTCCTCTAAAGGACATAAGATGTTATTGTTAAATACTGTAGTGATTGAAAAAAAATACATAAATGTTAAAATTAACATTGTGAAAAACTTTTGCAATAACCGAACTTTGTAAACATTTTGTGGAATAAGCAGGACTTCTTAGGAAAATTAAATTGTAAGTTTACTATTACATTCTTGAAAAAAACCTTGAGCTTACAAATTTAATTGGCTAGGAAGTGTTAATAAGATGATCATGACTACCTGACAGTGACAGTGTGACACTTTTAGATCCTGCTACATGTTTTCATCAAACAGTCGGTTTTAAAATACATATCAAGAAACAAAAAACTACAATCATCAAATACACTAAGACTAAAAAAGTTTTTTCTAGCCTTCCTCATAGCAAAATCATTCAAAAGTTCATCAAAATTTGTTTGTCTAAGTTTGTCACTTTCAATCCACAGAATGCTCAGTGCGGACAACCTCCCTTGAGACATTGTGGCCCATAATTCATTTTTAATTTTTTTGAGTCTTGAAAAAGACCTCTCTCCCGAGCAGTTAGTGACCATTAAGCTAAGAAATAGCCGCATGATTGCTTCCACATTATGGAAGGCCATCTAAATTTGTTCCTTTTATATAGTGTTGCGTCAGCGAGGTCACGTGACTATTGTCACGCCACCTATTTTCTAGAAGTATCTTGTTCCTTCGTGAATGCCCTAGCATTTACTAGATATATGTTTTTCTGGTATATAAATAAGACGCTTACAACGTGACGAGACAATGTGTGTGTAGGTAGTGAGTAACTGAACTACAGTCAGGAAGTATTGTTGAAGTTAACGTTCGTTGTTAAAACGTTTGTAAAGAGCGACTGTTGAGAATAAGTGTATCGGTAAAGTTATATTCAGAAAGAATAAACCAGTTTTATTTAGTAAGGACTTGTGTCACTAAAGTTTCATTGGAACGAAGTTACAGAAAATCAATTAACAAACGGAGACGTAACAATAGGTTGATAAAGGTCTATATGAGACAGAGAGTGCTCTTCTGTAGGCCTATGGCTCTGTCTCACGTACAAGTGAAAGTTCAAAAGTTCATCAGTAAATTTCAGGTCAACATCTTCTGGGTGTGCCTCCATCAACAGTTCAACACCTTGCTGAATTTCTTGCTTAGATGCTGTCAGATTAGCAAGAAAGGAAAACGTTTGTGCAACATTACTGTACACAGTAGCTCTTCTTAAATTGGCGTCAAGTGCATCTAGTATAGGAATAAAGGATTTTATCCTAAACTTATCACTTGAAGAGAGTTCATCTAAAGCATCAAGACCAGGTGCATTTCCGTCATTTCCTTCCCGTTTCCTTACTCTTTGTCTCCTTATGACAGTTCTGTAGGTAACATTTGGCAAAGTGGGTTTCGCTTGTTGCTCAAGCTCATCAAAATCTTCTCTAATTTTGCTTAAAAAATCCTGAAGTGAACTGTACAAACATGCACAAGTACTCAATAACGGTTCTGATTTCTGAATGGCTTTGCTGACCTTGTGAAAATGACGTAGCACACGGGTCCAAAAATGTAGCATAAACACAAATTCCAGTTCTTCCATTTTCTGCAAAAGATTGTTAGCTTGAAGCCTGGTATCACCCTTCTCATTAACATCAGAGTACAAATGACTGAGGGCATCAGTGATAGCT